ATAAGGCAATAATTTATCAAATAAAAATAATTTTTATTTAACAATTGTATAGTACTTATTCTGGTTCTTCATACTTTTTGATCATTCTCAAATCACTTATATACATTTTTACTTTATATTTATTATACCTAATATATTACTTATATCTGATATACAGTACTTACTCTTATAATTTCTTATAATCTATTTATCATTTTTCTCTATAACATTATAAATAAAGATTAATAATATGATTATATATATAGTATGAATTATTTATTTGATATTTAAAGTTTATATAGCTAAATATATTAAAATTATACAAAAAATAAGCATATTAATTAGTAATAATTAAATAATATAATATTAACTCTTATTATAGGTAAAATGAGATATTTGATATAATAACAAATAACTTATATTAATAAAAATATCTTGTATTTAAGTATTCTATAAAAAGCTACTATTTTCTTCTTAACTTGAAATAGGTTTGATTAATCTAAGTAATTCTAGAAAAGGTTAGAATAATTAATTTTAGGTATGTTAAATAAAAGGCCAATTTTTACTAATGATATCTAATTAAAAAATTAATTATCTATCTATTTAAACAAGATTTAACTGAAGTATATAGCAGAACAATATTTTGCTTACTATATATTAAACCATATTTGGAAAGCAAGTATATCAATTTTAATTATAACTTGAAAGTCAACATATATATAATAATTGTAATACTTTTATATAATTAGGTAATCAACTATTTTATAAAATTAACCTATTATATAATTTGATATATAATTTTGAAATTCTTTTTTTATATTATATAAGATGAAAAAGTAATGAATTGGTTGAATTTAATTTAGACAATCAATAGCCTATTGAAATAATATAAAAATTGAATATCATTTTAATTATAGTTGTACTTTTTTCAAGTTATCAATAATAAAAGATTGATAATAATCTACTATTTTTTAATAAAAAATAAATTATTTAAAAATATATTTATATCTTGTATTTAAATACTTGTTTATAACCAAAATAATAATAATACAGAGAAATATCCCTAAATGCATCCTCGATAAATGTACTTACATGGTTAGACTTGGTTCCAACTATATAGAACTTTTAATATAATTACTTTTATAAATATATATTCTTTATAAATTCTTATTCAAAAAATTTTCTATGATCCCAAGGGATATATGCATTTAAAAAAGATTTACTGTAATAATAATAATAATAAAAAAAAACTCTCATCCGTTTATTACTAATTTCTTAAAAATTTCCTTTTTAGAAAATCTTCTTTCAATAAGCATCTTCCTCTTTTTATTTTTTAAGGCAAATAGGCTTTAAACCTAAAGGATATAAAGATTTTAAGAAACACTATTGCATTGGAATAGAACCTCTGGTCAAGACCTAAACAAGTTGGAAGTCTTCCTTAGCTCTTGGTTACATAGGAAAAGACTTGTGGTAGCCTTTCTTCATAATTTTTTTGTCTTTAAGTACCTTTCCCTTTATGACTATGATAATCATTTTCCCCCTTATCTTTCTTTCTCCATAACACAAATTTAATTCTAACAATATATTCAAACAAAGTTACTGGATCTAATGTTTGTCTTAATACAACCTTTGAAAAAATTTATTATCTTTCTTCTCTATCTAAAAACAATATCACATATCACTTTTTTACTATTTTACAATTTTTCCAAACTTATTCAAAAAACCGCAATTAGTTTCACCCACTCAAAGATCTATACTTAACAAACAATCAATAAAATATCTTCACTCCTTAATAACAACATCAAATCTGTTCAAACTTGTTTACAACCAATTCTCCAATAAAATTCTCACATGTAACAACAATAACAACAATAACAATAACAACAATAATAATAACAATAATAACAACAATAATAATAACAATAATAACAACAAACAATTAATTGACAATCTACCAAATTGGGAGAGCACGTGACTTGTGTCCTGTATGGGTTCCAGTAATCTTTACTTAACATGCATCCAAACAATATAACAATCAACTGGAGCTGGGCTCTAGTTACCCAACTCATATATATTCCAATCACAACACTTCTTTACCAACCACATAACCAATTTATATTATCTTAACAATAGAGTTATGCTCCACAAGCAGCAATGCTACTGTTAAAAAAAAAAGGCAGCTAAAGCCTAATTAATGTAAATAAAAGTAAAGTATTTTATTGTAAGTGGAAGTGAAATATTAGAGAGTTGCGTTCTATAATTTGACAACTTATACCAGTGCTTCTCTATTGCTACTGGAGTCATGTTTAGTTATCGAAAAGGAAGTAGTAACCTAGGTAAACACAATTGGTTTGTGTCCTGCAGAAGAGATTGTTGATTCAAAGATAATATGTCTTCAAATTCTAACATATATCATTTCTATACAACTACTTATTCAAAATATATCCAACTATATATAGTTTCAAAAAGTTATTAATCCTGACTTTAAACTTAATGTATATAGTGATTTTATATTTACATATTTTATTTTTTAAATCACTACACTGATACATTCTTTTACTTAAAGTGATCTTGCCCCTTTCTTTATATATATTAATATTATAAATAGTTCCTTTCTTACTTTTCCCTACTTAAGAGTTTTTTATTTAAAAATATATCTACTATAATAGGTGGTAGACTAATATATACATAGCTTACTTTGTTCATATATCTCATATCTTAAAAATTAATTATGTAATAATAACAAATTATGATATTAATAAAGATTATAAAATATGTCTCACCTTAATATTAATAATAATAATAATAATAAATAATAATTTATTATTATTATTTATAGTTATTATTTATTGATAAAAAAAAACTCTCTTCTGATCATATCTATATTGTTAAAATTTTTCTTTTATGATAATTTTAAGTAAAAAAAAATATTTTATATTCTTTATTACAAGTGAGTTCCAGCTCAAAAACTTAAGAACCTTAAAAACAATTAATATAATAGAATAAAACTTCTAATTAAAGTCTATTCAAGTTTGAAAGTCTTGTTTATTTTTCAGTTATATAAGAAAAAACTTGTGACAATTCTCTATTTTTCTGTTTTTTTGTACTCCTCCTTATTCTTACTCTATTATAAAAATTATATATATTATTATTATTATATTTACTAAGTTAAATATTATCCATAACATATACTTAAATAGAGTTAGTAAGTCTACTGTTTGTTTCAAGTCAACTTTCAATCACAATATTCTGACAACACTTGCTGTATTACCACAATCTTTATAACATTTTCATCTAATCAAAAAACTGAAATTAGTTTATCTTCTTCAGATAATCAGTACTTTACAATTATCCAATTAGATTTTATATAAAAATTAAAACAAAAATCGAGTATATTCAAATTGATTTTATATCACAACAACAACTATAATAACAAATAATGTCACATGTATTTTTTTAACTATAGTAACTAAAAAGCTGGAGAGATGAAATCACATATTTGTTTAGAAACTCTCTTGAAAAAATAATTGGGTTTTTACTTATAGATTTTATAATTCATTTGATTTAGTTTTAGTTTTAGTTATATTTGTTATTTTTTTTTTATTTACTTTATGCTCAGAAAATCAAAAGATTTTGTAAAATTTGCCAAATAGATAAGTATAGCTACTATTTTGCTACTTTGTTATCTGATATTTTTAGTATTGCTTTTGAAATTTTTTACAATATTAATTAAATAGTAATCAAGTAAGCAAGCTAGTATTTAACTTGTTATATACAATAATGTATCCAAGAGATGTTGTTTCTTTTTAAATGTATATCTTCAATATATAATAACAAATAAAGAGATGATATTTATCTATTGGAAAAAACCTCTCAAAAAAAATTGTTTATTATTTATTGATAATTTATTATTTATAATTATTATTTATATAATATTTTTACTAATTTGTTAATTTTATAATTTTTTTAAAAAATTTTATTTAAATAAAAAAAAAATAGTTAAATAGCAAGTATTTATAATTAAAATTGAATATTTTATTAATGAAAAAAAAAAAGTATCCAAATATAAAATTTTAAGTTATATTGAAACAATGTCGTACAACTTTAAAATGGATCTGTAATATAGTCACATGCAGGAGTTCTCGTGATCCGAAAATGGACAAAATAGTTTAATACGATCACGTGATCACGCGACAGAATTTTACTAAAACGCAAAATTGATAGCTATCTTAAATCTCTTCAGACAATTATGGACAACGAAAAGGCGAGAGGGCTAATAGAGCAAATTATAAGAAGGCAAGTAAAAGTTTTTTGTTGAAATGTTGGAATACGTGGCGTGGCAAAGGATCTGTTCGATTGTTTGTCATTCAAAACTGTTCGTTGAGCCACAAAACAGTGTTGAGGCGCAGATGACCTGCTCGCTTGTCTGTTGCTGAAAAGACTGTTCGTCTATTCAGCACTGTACCCACTCGGGCACTGATGGACTGCTCGTCTGGCTGATGTTCGGTGGGATAGGAAAATACTGGTCGAAAATCAATACTAATTTCCAGAATTTTCACGCTAGAGATCTAATCATGATACGAAGAAGCAGGTTCATATCCATAAAAAAAACACGGGAGCTGTAGTAAACGAAATAAACTGTGTTAAGTTTGCAAGTATAAACTCATGAGGTATGGATGCGTAATTTATGTAATTTATGAGAATTGTGACCTGTTATAACTTTTTCTTTTCGTATTTAGCCCGATAATGATTTTGTGCCCGTTCGTGAACTAAGGCGGGAAAAGATTTCGAAAGAGGTTAGGAAATAACAATAAAAACCTTTTGACATAAATGTTGCCTTGAAGTCTATGCGACCTTGTTTAATGATTACTTTGATATCTATAGAATAAAAAATCTAAGGGACAAGCTAACTCCAAATGGAATGCATCACTGTGATGATAAAGATTTGGTCACAAATTTTATTTCTATAGGACGAGGTCGATGTTTTTTTCTAAGTTCTTCACAAACGGAATGCAATGATAATGATAACTCTCGAAAGATGTCTACGAAAATATGAAAAATCCTACGCTAAATTGGATGATTCCAATAAGTGGGTACTCACAACCGGAACCGTTGTGGAAGACGCTCTTTATAACTTCGGCCTACGTTGTAAATATGAACAGTAAGTTTATATGTAAATAATTTGCTTACACTCTTCAATAATCGATAGCGTATCAATTGTTTTTTTTCTACTCACACCTTATCTCTATATAAAGTCTTGCTCATTCGTTTGTCTTGGACCCTGACGATGATACTTACTTGAAGGAAAATGTTTTCACTGAAAGCGCATTACGCGAAATTCGCGATTTCAAGTCAAGAAAACGCCATTGTTGCCTCCTGACTTGATTAATAAAATCAAATATTAAAAATCAATTTATCTTTTATTTGGGTTGGTACACAGCAAAACCATGCTTTGAGACAAAATCTTTATTTGGAGATATCGACGATTATCAATCTAAATTTATATATCGAACCATATAAAATTAAAAATTGCGCGCGAGATTGTACCAAATTATAATATATTAATATATATCCAAACTTTTATCACAGATAAAGGACGTTCTTGGGAGTATAATCCATTAAAAATCTCAATTTTTGTTAAAACCTTTCAAAGCATGGTTTTGCTGTGTATCAATCCATTTAATTTATATAATTAATATCAAATTATATATAACATTTTATTAGCACAGCATCAAAATTTTAATTAATTTATTTACTTATTTTATTTTATTTATTTTTTTTTTTTAACTAGTTGAACCTTGCTTAACAAACTTTATTAAGGTCGATATTTACACCAAAATTTTAATTTATTAAATTTGTTATTGTTATTGGCACATCATGTGAATTTATAATAATTAATTTGTATTATATAAATAATCAATAATAAAATTATTTTATTATGTTTTTAAGAAAATGTTATAAATGAGCCTGTGAACACTAATATATAGTGCAATCATAGTTTGTTTAATAGATTATCAAGTATGTAAAAGTTGTAACCTGCTTGACATTTATATTTCTAGATTTAACAGCTTAAGTAAATTAAACTTTCTTGGAGTATCTATTAAAAAATATTGTAATTATGTCTTATTTGACCTTAAAATTTCTAGATTTAATAATTTGTGCCAATCAAAAATAACAGTTTTCAAATGAAAGACCAATTTTTACAGGAGATTTTAGTTGGAAATGTGGCTATTTAGCTTATTGAACAAGTTATTCAAATAAAGTTTAAGATAAAACATATTCTCTACTTGCTATATATTAAGCCATACTTGAAAAACAAGCATGTCAATCCTAGTTATAACTTGAAAACCAACCTGTATATAGTGGCTGTAGTGCTTTAATATAATCAGGTAATTAAAATTCTCTAGGTAGTTAGATGTTATTCAAGATATAATATAGGTTTTAAATTTTATTTTTCTATATTCTTGAGTAGTACTAAGGAGCTTAGGTGAAAGAGTTGTATTTGATAAGTCTGACATTTAACTTTTTCTAATAAAAAAAGATATATATTATGCTAAGAATTTATAAATCTTGTAACTGCAAGTTTAAATATATAAAGCATAAGTATAACATTCCATATTACAACATATAATACATCAGAAAATTTTTAGGCAAAGATTTTCAAAGATCTTTAGGCATAGATTTCTGGAGATCCTCTGTCATCATTAAAAGATTCCAGAGTGAAAATTAGTATATTTAACTCTAAAGATCTTTGATTTAATTTAATAATAATAAACAATATTTATATTTATGTATTATAATTTAATAATATTCAATTTAAAATATTTATTGGCTTATAAAATTATTTTAATTATTATATAATTCTTGTTTACATTTATTTATTTGTTTAAATCTTTGTTCATTGCTGAAGTTCTTTTTTTTAATTTTCTATTTTTCAGTAGTTGTCCTAAATTATTCTCAGTATTTTTATAGTCCTTCGGATTATTTTCTATAGTAATAATTCATGAATCAGTTATTTCTTCTTTTTCGTTACTTGAATTTTCTTCTTCAAATCCAAGTCCTTTTTTAATTCTCTCCTAAAAATATTATTAGTAATAATTTATAATACTTTGAAGATTTTTAAAACTCACCTTATTTTTTTCTACTTTGCTTTTAATTAATATTTCATTTATCAAAATATTTTCATTATTTGAATCAAGAACTATTTGACATATTGCAATAGCGAATGTCACTTGTTCCTTGAAGGCATCTTTCTTTGGTCAGACTTTTTCAGGAATATGGGCCATCATGTTTTGTATCTCTCCTCTTGAACATTTATAAAGATTTTCAAAGCATTCAGTAGTTTTTTGAAATTTTTCCAGGTCAAAATGTCAGTAGCGGTTGTATTTGTATTTATTGTATCCAAACATTCTTTGCCAAAAACTAAAAACATGATATTATGAATTTTTGAAGCCATAGTTTCACAAAGTGATTAATGTTATTTCACAAGCTTTTAAAACAATAAGGTATTAAATAACTAAAGAACCAAAGTTATTAATATTTATAAAAATTATCACTTGATAAATATGCTTTTCATAATATGTTTTCCAGCATTTTCTTGTGAGACCTTTATAAAACTCTAAATGTTCTTGCTAAAAAAATTCCTTGGTTATTTGGCAAAAATCTTTATAACCTAGGTATATTTTTTCAAAAAATACTTGTTTCGTGATACTCTTAATTATCTGCTATTTAAATAAAATATAAGTTTTAAAAACCTTTAAAAAAATTCAAAATGAACTTTATCTTGATAAAATCATGTTTAATAATTAAATGTTGACTATTTCATTTTTTAAGTGAATAACCTTATCTTCTATAATTTTTTGCCATTCTAACAATTGGTCAATTTTTTTATGAAGGCTTTTGTGAGACTCCATGATTTTTTCAATAGCTTTATTAGGAACTAAATATATACTATATGTTGATATTTATTTTAAATTATAACAAATTTTAAAATATACCTGAAGTTTCTTCAAACGTTCTTCATGCTGATATGTTAAAAAAAGATTCAAAAAAATGTTTAAAGAATCTCAATCACTTTTGAGATGTTTTTGTTTCCATTTCAATAGGAGTTGAGAGTCTTATTTAGTAGCTAGCCCTTGGGTTCCCTAAGTACTTTTTGCCTTTTTAAAGAACTTTGAAGTACTTTCTTAACTTTTTCTTTTTTCTTTTTTAGTTGAATCAGAAATAAGTTTTTGAAATATTTTACACATTTCTTGTTTTTTGTTTGATATTAAAAAAAAGTAAGAACTTTAGAGATTTTATATAATACAAATTCCAAGAAATTATGTTATATTATAATTGCAAACTTTTCTTCGTTACTTTTTGAAAATTACTTCATAACTATAAATCATTAAGTTATTATTAAGGATCCTAACGATTCTCTTCGATTCTGTATTCGATTCTCAAGTTTATATTAAATTTAATAGTTGGGGTATACCCCACTATTATTTTTAATAGTGTTCCAAACCTTATGTGATTCTGTTC